TTTTTGTAATTCTATACTTTATTCACCAGGCTACACCAACAAGAGTAAGAAGATAGACGAAAGACGATCTCTTATTTGTGTTTTGAGTCGCTGAACATGAGATCAAACCACACAGTGCCTGGGCAAGTGGAAAGATAATACGTTACATCTCAAGTTTCGGCTCACAATTTTAAATAATATTTCATCGTTCTTAAATTACAGAAAAACAACTGCCGGCTTTGGTTCGTCCCATCTATCCTAATTTCTCAAACCATGCAATTCTTCAATTTCTTTCCTGCTATCCGAAACGTACAGATCAAACAGATCTAATTCCCAGTTTTACACTGGTTTCTGTTTTGCGGTTGAGGGCGCCTCGCATATTTTAATAGGTTTTCTCCTACTTTATTATTCGTTCTTTCAAGGGCCTTACGATAAACTTTGGCTTATGATTTCATCTATGTGAGCAGATATTAAAAATTAGACAGCGACCACACATATTTAACCCTTTGAGACGTGACTACCGCTTTACCAATGGTAGAAAAAATGACGTAATGCCCAGCCACCGGTTGAACGGTGGTAGAGAAAAATGACTTAATGTCCTGCCACCGGCTGAACGGTGGGTAAACGCTTGTAACTATTTTTATATCTAGCGTGAAACATTACATATCAATCTTTGCGATTTTTGACTCAGGGGTTCAGGAAGAAGTGTTAAAATTGTTCAGAAACACAGGGTCAAAGGGTTAATAGCGGATATTTATGAATACGTTGCTTTGTTCAAAATGTTCGTTTTGTTTTTGTTACGCTTTGTTTTGCTTTACGGCATACCAAACGTTTTTGACGTTGTTTATTTATTTATTTTTTAAATCAGTATCACCCCCACGCAAGTCAGTAAATCCACTAGGACATAAGGGGTTACAGGGTGTGGAAGAATTAGGAACAGAAACATTAATAATCAGCGAGAAGAGAAAAGAGTAATCAGGATAGTAGATAGCTATTGATACTACATTTAATTTTTTGGCTGGAAAGCATAGAGCCAAAAACGAGTTTCACAAGCGAGAAGTGCGGGGAAAGAAGCTGTTAGCATAGAATTTACGATTACAACTCAATTGTCAATTGATGAGATCTCAACGCCAGTCTAGTCAGGCAGTTATCTGCCATGAGTGATGCACGCTTAGGCGATCATGTATCTTTAGCTACATGACTGACAAGCCAGACTTTTTATCGCAGTAGGTTGCCATTTTTTTCTACGGTAGACCAGTTGCCATCCAAGGCTATAGAACCCTGTCCTGCTATTTATTCATAGCTAGGGAGAAGGAGAAGAGGATTCATACCTTTCCCAAGGGTATTAGCATATAAGTGAATGAAATGGATTCGACTGAAATTCGAACTCGGCTCTCCGATTCCTCAATCCGACCCGCTATCCATTATTCCACTATGCCTCCGCCAGTCTAATACTGCGCATAAATTTATGAAGTCTATGAACCGTAGCGAAGAGCTCATACGGACAATTACCATGAAAGTAATTGATATGTCCCGGAAAGGGATATATTTGAACGAAGTAGCTAAGTGGTTTTGGCTACTATAACCAAGTAGAATACGGTAGCAGTAATCGACTGGTACGCGTCGTAGTCGCAGGTAAAGAAGTGTAGATCAATGGCGTAGTCCAATGGGCGTCGTTATAGACTTAGCTCTCAGACTATGGCTCTTTGACTCTCGTACATGTCCGTCGGTATTTATGACGGACACCAACCAATCATATTCCAGTGAGGGGGAACACAGGTGTACGCCTATTCCATTATATCAGTAATGATAGAAAAGATACAGACTGGCAACCTTACAGCGGTGGGCAAGTGACTAAAGCCGAATCGCCAGACCAAGACCAATAATATTGCTGATTCTTCTTTGGATCCTATCAAGGAACTCTAGGTAAATAGCACGGGCACTGGACCATAAGTGGCGGCAATATTCTAAGCACAGACGAATGGTAGACTTATAGATATCTAAGACAGACGGTTCTCCATTATTTCAAAGATGATTTCTACCAATCTAGAGGTACCGAAAATTTAAATGTTCTTGTCGCTAACCATGTAGGCGGCTTTGATAACTTAAGGCTAAATTTTTTGCCTACCCACCCAAAAGTCTCTGTATTTTAAATTTTGAAGAAAAAGGTAAGTAGCTTGCAACATGTCATGTGAAGAAGTAAAAACGCTTATCTCATAAGTGGCAGAAAGGGTTGTTTTCTTCTTTTATGTGCCGTTCCTCTTCAGAACTAGGGTGATTATGGCTCTCCCGAACTTCCTATCATTTGTAGATCTTAGCATCGGTTGTGATCTTATTATCCTTAACAGTAGATGATCTGCCATTTATTTATAAAAGCTAATGACATTAAGCTTATTTCCCCTCATCTCTCTTGCTTTCAATATATACTAATTTCACAAGCCTTTCTTCCTTATATGTCCAAGTAAATAATTATGCCTTTTGTTTCCATTTTCCATCAAACTCCCTCTTTGTTCACATGTTCAGCCTATAATGATCTCATCATATTTCTACAGAACCACGTTCCTGTTACCTGAAGTTTCCTCTTTATCTCTGAGAAAATTATCCATTTGTCACTGTCATAATGGATGATTGATATTACATAGAGGTTCGGTTTTTCTTTGTTTCTAACGCTATTTTTCTGTAACTTAATACTTTGTTTAGCTTCAACTTTTGGAAAGCATCTTTCACTATTTCTCTCTGTGTGCCTTCGGATTTCGTTGTCATATTTTCTGCCATCAGGTAAAACACTTCCCAGATAATTAAAATTCTGTATTTGCCTGGCTTTAATATTTCCACTTTGTAGCTCGCATCTTTGGCTGTTAAACAGTGTTAAATAAGTTTATTAATTTTAGTAAGTATTTAAAAAATATTCTGAGTGCACTATTTACATTATTCGGACTATTGTCCTCATCTTTGTCGCCATATTTATTACAACGTTTCGGCCTTTCAGTATCTGTCTATATTTCTGAGATGAGGTATTATGTACACTATTTACATTATTCGGATTATTGTCCTCATCTTTGTCGCCATATTTATTACAACGTTTCAGCCGTTATAAGCCCCAGCCTTCTTCAGGTGTCTGGAATGTCGAACTGAACCGTTTATTTCGCTCACTGGTGTAGACTGTTCTAGTTCCACGTGCCATGTTTAATGGATGCCAGTTGTCAGTTATCTCCTGTTAATTCCCTCTCCAAGTTCTCCACTGCCTTAACTGGGTATTGAACTCACACTCTTTGGATCCTGTCACTGGATCTAACTAACGCCTTTATCCACTGTGCCATATGTCCTTGAGGCGCCAAAGATGAGGACAATAGTCCGAATAATGTAAATAGTGTACATAATACATCATCTCAGAAATATAGACAGATACTGAAAGGCCGGAACGTTGTAATAAATATGGCGCCAAAGATGAGGACAATAGTCTGAATAATGTAAATGGTCTACATAATACCTCATCTCAGAAATATAGACAGATATTCTCAGTGATTCAACGTCGAAAACAAAAGATGCGAAAGTCGGTTGAAAATTTGTTTCTTTTTGGCTCTTTTTGGTTCCTTTTCTCATGCATGAAGAGGAATTTCGATAAAGCCAACCAATTATTGAAACTCACATTATTTACATTATTCGAACTGTTATCCTCATCTTCATCGCCATATTCACAACGTTTCGACCGTTGTACGCTCCGGCCTTCTTCAGGTGGTTGGAATGTCAAACTGAACCCTTTATTACGTCCACTGGGGTAGATTGATTTAGTTCCACGTGCTATGCCTCTTCCGGGTGTCTCAGTTATTTCCCTCTAACTCAACTCTCCATGTTTGGTTCACCACTGGTGTATCCTGGTATTGAACTCACAATTCTTTAGGTCTAGTCAGTGGATCTACCCAACGTCTTTATCCACTGGGACATGTGTCCTTGAGGAAAATAACTAAGGCCCCCGGAAGAGGCATGGCACGTGAAAATAGAACAATCTACCCCGGTGGACGAAATAAAGAGTTCGGTTCGAAATTTCTATCTTCTGAAGAAGGTCGGAGAGTACATCTGCCGAAACGTTGTGAATATGGCAATGAAGATGAGGATAACAATTCGAATAATGTAAGTAATCATAATACCTCATCTCAGAGATATAGACAATTATTGAAAAGTGAAGTGGAACTGTGAGTATTTATAATTTCTTTTCTATTCGTTGATTGGTTAGAAATATTTTTTTCCAGTTGAAGGATACTGGGAATGCCATGGACTGAACATTTGTGTAAAAAGGAAGTTTTAAGGGAAAATGGAACAAAAAAGACGATTATAACTAGAATCAGAAAGAGACAGTTGAAGTTTCTTGAGTGAGGAAAGAGGGCTTGGAGAATCTGAAACTCTCAGGATATATTGATGGCATGATTACAGGGAAAAACAACGAGTAACATACTTAACGGGCTTGTGTAAGTGGATGTCAGAACAGGGTTTGAGAAAGATTACAGGGTTTGGGAAAGATTACAAAAGCTGCAAAAGTTGTGGAGAGCCATGATTGTCAACTTCCTGAAGGGAAACGGCACATAGAAGAGGGAAGCATTTCTTCTCTTTCTCTCTCGTTTCACTCTCCTCCTCCTATTACCATCTTTATTCTTATATCACTCCTACTTGTCTTTCGTTAATCTCTCCTCTTTTTCTCCTTTTCCTCCTTCTTTCTCTATTTCTTTACTTTCTTTCCCCCAAAATTACGCAGCACTTATTTTGATTAACAGCGTTACTTGAAACGATTACTTCGCTACTTATATAAATGTAAGAAGTCTTACTTGGAAAATAAATGACAGATAGCTATAAAAAGGCACTATTGGTTATTTATGGCGAATTTGTTTAAATTTTATTTGCGTCCCCTGATAATAATTGTAAGTAACTGGTGTACTAAAATAAGTAACCAAGTAATCGTTTTAAGTTCTCTGAATAGTAATGGAGTTTTCTTTATTCTTGTGTTTCCTCTTTCACCTCCTGCACTTATGAGTTACTTTGTTAATCTTCTCCCCTCTTCCTATTCCACTTCTTTTCCTTCTCTTGCTCCTGCTATGTTCTTATCTTTACTTTTCTATCTCCTCTGCCGTTGATTCTATTTTTACTTCAGTAATCTTATCTCCTCTTCCCGTTACTCCTTTTTCTTCCTTTTCGTCTATGTCTATTCTTCGATTCCTTATTCCACTTCCTGCTTTTGTTTGACGTTGTTAATATTCCCTTCTCTTCCTATTCCGTCCCATCTCTTCCTCTTGCTACTACTCATTATTCTTATAACTCTCCTTTCCCTTTCCTTCTCTTTGTTGTCGGTAATCTTCTCTCCTTATTTTAGTTATTCTCTTTACTCCTCTGCTTATGTTTCTTTGCTTTACTCTTCTCTCCTCTACCTTCAACTTTTCCCCATTTTCCTACCTTATAAGTCTTTGTTCTTCTTTCAAATTCTCTTCTTGATTTTGTCTCTTTTTACGTATTCTTTACTTCTTCATCACTTAATTTTCTCCCGATTATCTTCTCTTTCTTTTATTTTAGTCCTCCTTCCCGTTTTTTTGGCTTAAAATTCGCTTCTTCCCATTCCTTCCATCTGTCTACTTCTTAACTTTCTTCTTCTCCTTCTCCTTTCCCATTCTCCTCCTCTTGTTTCTCTTTCTTTACTTAATTTTCGCCCAACCCTTACTTCAAATTGTCCTCCTCCCCCTCCTCTTCCTCCTCCTCCTCTAACCCCTACGCTCTCTTCCACTCTTTTCTTTTTATTATCGTCTTATTTATCCAAATCCTTCATTCACGCATTTGCTTTTTTCTCCTTCCTGTGTGGATGGCCGGAGATTTCTTTCAATGATTTAAAAAAATATTCTTTGTTTGTCGTTCCATTTTCTTCTCTATCAATTTCCAACTTCTTTTTCCGCCATCTTTCATTGTGCATCAAGATATTTATTCGTTCTAATCCTTCTTCTCTTATGTCTGTTTTTTCTTTCTAGCTCTTTCTCACTTTTAAGCATTTCCTACTTCCTTTTTTCTTTCTTTCTTTCTTTCTTTCTTTTGTCGTACTTTTTCACTTCCCACTCCTCTTTGATTTTCCTTCCTTCTTTTTTGTCACTGTGTCTTTAACAGACGATTTTTTAATACTTCTTTATTCTTCCTATTTCCTTTGGTATCTACACACCCGATTTCTTACAGTTACCTTACCCTCTCTCCTCCTCCTTCTCCTCCTTCCCCGGAATAAGATCCCTTTTCTCTTATGGAATTTCCTCACACCATTACAGTATAAATATGGCAATACTTCACACCCTTGTGAATCAGCTCGGATCAGTTTTCCCTTTTCTGATGTTTTGCACCGTTTGAACCCGTGTTTATCAACTTAGAACACAAACACTGGATTACGATAATCTTATATTACATCGAAATCCGTGGTGATCAACGTATCAAAATACTATTAATGTTTCTTCAAGTCCATTTCAAGTGATAAAAGATACAACGTTACGCATGTCTTTTTTTTGTTACAAGCAACGAACAATTGCAATGAAACTTGATGTTTTTTGGAGGAGGTAAGTTACATGCTACAAGAAAACACAAAATCGTAGAAACCAACTCTAGAAAGATAAAACATCATATCCAGAAATAATTTTCACCTTAACAAATGATTTGATCGTCTGTTTCACCTAATATTAGAAAAGGGTTACTTAATACCTTTATATATATATATATATATATATATATATATATATATATATATATATATATATATATATATATATATTGTGTGTGTATTTAGGCAGTATTTTTCATTGATGCATGTTTCATTAAATGATATAGACAAGTTTTGTCTATTTTATGTAAATTCTTTTCATAATGTTTGATAAGCTTAATAACATTATCATTAAAAGATGAAAGAAAATCACCATATTGGTTAATATATTGTAATGTAATTATCATCTTTGATAATGGCTTATGTAAGCCGAAAGCTTAGATTGGATTAAAAAAATATGGATCAATATTGTGATTTTCTTTCTTCTTTTAATGATAATGTTATTAAGCTCATCAGGCGTAATGAACAAGAATTTACATAAAATAAATAGACAAACCTTGTATATATTATTTAATGAAACACGCATCAATATATATATATATATATATATATATATATATATATATATATATATATATATAATACTAGCAGCATTACTCGGCGTTGCCTGGGTTTATTCAAAAAAAAAAAGATCAGGAACCTCATCCAATCTGTAAAGTTAAAATAAAGAAGAGTTTTTCGTTAGTACCTCTTATCAATATGGCGAAAAATTATAATGACATGAAGTGTGAAAACATTTATAACAGGAGAAAGTTGTTTTTTACAGAAGCATTGAAGATACAAAAAAAATTGTCAGCAAATGAAGAGTACATTAATCGCAATCGATCTTCGAAAATTGTTGAGGAGAAATGCTTTGCTCAAACTACATCGAATGAACAACATGCATTGGAAAGAGAAGAAATTCAACAAAGACTTTTCCTAGCAGCCGTGTCAAGCCTAAAAACCAACGTTCACAAAGACTCGATAGAATTGTTCTTTGTCCCTCAATTTCGACAGCTCGAGTAGCAGAGGTTCTGGCAGTGTTCCTTCCTCGTCTAGTTAACCGTTGCTCATTAGTTTCTGCTGACCTTGCATTAGCTGTACGAATAGCATTTTGTGTCAGTCTAATTTGAGTTTCTTGTTGCGAAGCGTTTCTTCTCCGTGCTTTCATGCGTTTGGCTGTAGTAGTAGCACGTGCAAGTGAAGGATTTCGCTTTCTTGGCATTACTGTCAGGCTGTAGTTGGAGGGGTTTGGCTAAGCTTTTTGAATAACAATGAAGTAATCAATTAAAAAGCAACAATATTATACACATTAATGGAAATATAGCCACAATAAATAAAATCCAATTTATAAGGAAGACCATAGGAATGTACTAAACAACTATAGGCAAGCTCGTAAAGTTAGGATTTATCTAAAACTAGACTATCAAAAAAAAAAAACGTTCTAGTGATAAAAATAAAAATTAACGTGCAGCTAGAAACCTACTCACTATGAACGTTAAAACGTACACGCTAAGTTTAGCATAATTATAAATGAATCGAAAGAGGGTCTTTAAATTATTATAAGTGCATTTTTCAGAATAAAACTGTCAAAATTTTAGGGCTCAAGTTTTCAAATAAATGAGTTAGTAAGCATTATTTAAACGCTGATTAGAAGATGATAAATACATAATTAAAAAATGGCATTTACGCTTAAAATTTTTTAATAATATGATTTTCACAAATTTAAATTTAAAGTATCAAAAATTCAAAATATACAAGCATGGAGGCAGCGTACCTGTTTACTGGATAACAACTTTGATGCGAATGAGATTTGTTGCATTTATTTCATCACATAGCACTAATAAACACTACACGTGAAGCAAAATCGATAGTACGCACTACAAAACTCGATCGATCATTGCATGTGGAACAAAATCAGTTGTACACACTACACATCTCGATCGATCTCGCACACGCATCTTATACCTACGTGCTCTTCTCTCATCGGTACACACTTCCGTTTGCACTTATTCTTTTTTTCTTAAGGAAAGATATAATTTTGCCGTCATTTTCCGTGGCGGAACTCAACTGAGTTCTCTGTAACCATAGGACTGTGCCCCCTGGAGCCACGACTACTCTCACCAAGCCGCTACCAACTGGAGCATTAGAAGCCGGTTCAAGCGAAGACAAACACAGATAGTAATTAGTAGGAGGATTTGATAATTATATTTAATTAATTCATCGAGTCTGATAGAAACCTCAACAGAATGCAGAAAGCACTGGACGGTTGAGTCTGATTTGCAATCTCTTCGTCACCGAAGCCCAGTGGAACAGTTGGTATGATGGTGGCTTGGTAACCTAACTGTCAGGGTTTCAATTCTCGCTAGTGGATGCGCACTGCTGATGAGTTCCAAATATAGGAGGAAACGGCCGTCCAGTGCTTTCTGCATTCTGTTGAGGTTTCTTTCAGATTCGATGAATTAATTAAATGTATATATATATATATATATATATAGCTAACCAGACGCTTCCTCTGGAGTCAAGTGCCGGTTCCGTGTAAGATAGATGTTCGATTTTTGTTGGAGGACACCTTTTTTACGAAATTTCTCGGACATCCAGGCCGCTAAATAAATAATATAATTAATACCATTTATTATAAACATATAATTGTATCTATAAAAATTGCGTATCAACAGAAAATATATTAAAATAATTGTCGGATATATCCCATTTCATAATACACACACACACACACACACACACACACACACACACACACACACATATATATATATATATATATATATATACATACATTTTGTTTCAACACTTCTGGTGTCTTATCAAGTGATGGTGTTGAATGTAGAATAAAGAGTATGAAAAGATTCAAATCAACCAAACATCCTTCGCTAGGGGAAACGCTGTTACATAAGCTGCATTGACCAATCAAAATACAAGTATATGAGAATGTATAGTATATTCAACACCATCACTTGAGAAGACACCGGAAGTGTTGAAACAAGGTGGCTTTTTTTTTTTGTAGTGATTTTATAACATTTTATGCTATAATTTTCGAATACATGAATATATATATATATATATATATATATATATATATATATATATATATATATATATATTACTGGCATGTATTTAGAAAATATAAAGCTGGAAAATGAATAGGTTGAATGTTAATATTTTAGGCGTATACGGTACAACGTAGGCAAATAAAGATTTCGTTAATGACAGATACGTGGCCATATCTGCAGGCGGAGAGAAAAACGAGAGGGGAGTAGAACTGATATTATTCCAAGACCTGAAGAAATGTGTACTGGAATACTATTAACTGACAGAATTCTTGTAGTTAAACTGGAAGGGAAGCCTTTTAACATATCCATCATGCACCGGTACAGCAGAAGAAACTGAAAAGATTTATCGTCCGCTAGACAGCGCCAAGGTTCAATGCACATCTCAGAAAATTACAACCGTCATGGGAGACCTGAACGGCAAAGCATACTAGGAGAAAGATGGTGAAATAGACAGGAAATATGAATTGGGAATCGTAATGAACGCGAAGAAAGATGTTTGTCCTGATTACGGTGAATTATTATATATTGAGCCTTCTTCAGTACTGAGATTTTCACTTTTCAGATGCAATTTATATTAAGTCCTGACAACCATCTCTCTGTAAACAGAAGAAGTGTTTGTTAGGTTTAAGTATAATTAACCTTTGATTTTATATATTTATTATATAATATCAAGTCTGGCATTTTTCATTTTATTGGCTGCACGCAATTCTCTTCGTCAATTGAGCTCTGAAGAGAGTCGATCTATAAACCGGTAAAATTGCCCTTTTTGTTAATTGCGTTTTTTCTTTTCCTTATTACCATTTTACTTTCAATGAAAACCTGTTTTAATCCTTTTTTGTTATTATTTCCTCTTGTTTTTGACATATCCGTTTTAATGGCTATTTTTAAATTTTGGACCCTATTAAAATATCCAAAATTTGTGTAAACTCCGATTTTCCATTTATGCACCTCTAAGCTGCCTAATATAATTAATATCTAAGAATTTTAATAAAATTCAAAGTTATATAAATAAAAAATGCAAATATAGTAAATAGCGATAAAAAAAATGTTATATAGGAATAAAGTGTCGCTGCTGAGACTTGAGTTTGAACATAAATCGCCAGTGAGTAAACACAAGCGATCCCATTATTGAATTAAGTAGACCACGTGACCACAGAAGAAACGCATAAGTAGGAAGTCACGTGACGTCTAGTTTATCGTTATTTCTAGTCTATCCTCTATTAATATACGGACCGCTATTCTCTACTCTATTCACTATACTATTTCTCTATTTGGATCACTATACGGATTACTATTCGCGCGAGTATTATCGAGCAAGTACTATTAACGCGAGTGATATTCGAAGGCGTCTAACACCAGTATTGTTCAACGGCGTTACTATAGTTCTATCTGCGATTACAAAGTCTCTACTACAACGAGAATTACGAAAGTGACAACAAGTGTTCGTTGACATCACAAAAAAATTAAATAAAAATCGAAGCTAGAAAGAAAACATTAAAAACAGAACGAAGGCAAAATGATAAAAAGTATAACACACAAAAAGTACATCGAGCTATATAAAACCAAAAAAATCCGAAGCAAAATTGTCTATAAGAAAAATTTAAAACAAATTACCGTATTTGACGGCATATAAGGCGCATATTTTTTTTACTAAAAATATCTTTTAAAATTTCCCTGCGTCATATATGCCATATGTAGGTTTAAAATTCGCGATAGTCGGCCGAAA